GCCTGAGATATCTGTGTAGTTGAAGTTAAGAATCTCAAGCCGTGGCAGCCTGTAGAGGTGCTTGATGCCCTCTACACCGAGGCCTGAGGTAGAGTACAATTCAATGCTCCTCAGGTGGGTGATGGTGGACACATGCGCGAGCATGGCGTCTAAGAGGCCCCAGGTCCAGACTGGCATTCTGTGATGCTGCCTTGACTGCCTAGAGGAAATGGGTGGAGAGTAAAAAGGAAACATGACAAGGGTAGGGATGAAGACAGTGGCAAGAGAGAACAAGCAAGCAATGCAAGCCCAGTGAAGCGAATCACTTAAAACTCACCTCCAAGCAGCCTTCCGATCACCTTTACTCCTCCTGATTTTCACATCAACATTCAACTTCAGATTTTGTGTCTTCCGCCCTTTTTTACGGGCTGCCGATTCCTCCATGCTACGTGGGTGAATTCAACTCCTACACCTCCTTTCTCCTTTCCTCCTCCCATGCAACATCCTCTGTGATTTCTTGCTTTCTCTTTCTATTCTTCCCTCTCATCCCTGTTCCACCCGACTCCTTACTACCCTCAGCGAACTTCTCTTCCCTAGCGTCCTTGCGATCCGCCAACTCCCCTTTAACCACGGCCAACTCGCATTCAACAGCTTCCAACTTCCCCTTAACCACTACCAACTCCCCCTTAACTACTGCCAACCCCCCCTGCACTGCTGTCAATGTGTGCCGTAGGTCATTCACCTCCTCTACCACTGCCACCAGCGCTGCCTCTTTCATTCTCAACTCATCCACTGCACTCGTCACTCCCTTATCAACCATATCATCCACCCACTCCCCTCAAGCAACCCTGCATGTCTGACTGCTCTTTTCGTTCAACTGTCTTAATAACTGTAGACTGGAAAAATCAGACACGTGCAGCCCGGGTAGGGCAGGGTTGCACGTCATGAGAGAAAAGAGAAACGAAAAAATAATCGGGGTGGTCAGTGCACACACGAATTAGACCAATTACACGGGCATGAGGGATGAGATAGTGCTGACAGTGCTGGTCGACGGAGGGGTCCGTAGACCAGAGTGTTCCTCGACTGGAGCTGTGGTCGACGAGGGAGGCGTTGACCAGAGCACTGGATGGTTGACCAGGTCGACCGGGTAACCTGCTTGGCGAGTTCTGCGGAGGCACGCAAACGTCGTCGAGGTCGCGGTGACAAAGGCGAGTTAGGGCTGGTATCCCGAAATCGATGTGGCTCGACAGGCGCAGACCACAGCCGACAGATGCACAACGGTGCAAGTCGGGCCAATCATCTGCGCGCACCTATGAGCGTGCGCACTGCTGCCATCGACGGGTGCAACGCTGGACAACCGCTCTGTTGCAGCGTTGGCACGCCGTCGACCTGCTGTGTTGGAAGGCCGCGTTTCTGCAGTGATGGCGCGGCTCCTCTACGCAGCGCTGGCAGGCGGTCGCCAATGCTGTGCTGGCGGTCGACCAGGCTAGTTGTAGAGTTGTTAGGTGCCTGATGTGGTCATTCTTGTTATTGTGATTCCTATGATTCTGTAATCTCAATCTTTGCTAGTGCAAACTCTTGCCAGATTCTCCCGTGAATGTGCAAGTGCTAAAGAACCAGGTAAAGCTACGATCACTCCTAGATTTCGTGCCAGCCCCCGTAGTCCAGCTCACGACCATTGTAGAGTGAATCTCCGCAAGCCAAATGCTCAAGAAGTTGAGCAACCGTTTTGAAGTACAGCATGGTGAAATCTTGCGAATTGGTTTCGCCAGGTGCGCACCGTCGACCACGTGTTGCCGTTCCGCAGGTCGAACTTCGCCAAAACCTCCTGGGCGAAGTTTCGCATGCCTCCGCAGAGTTTCGCACACCTCTGCGAATTCGGTCGATCAGCTGGACACCGCTCGATCGAACAGCGTTCGCCGAGCAGAGCTCCTCGACCAGAACTCTTTGACCAGAGTTCGTCGCGCAGAGCTCGTCAACCAGAGCTCTCGACAAGCTTTTCGACCATCACTCCTCGATGGGCCTCCTCGACCGCTGTCTTTGACCAGCGCTGCTCGTCGACCCAGACTCCGAGCCTGCTCGACCATAACTTCCGTTGGACTACAAAAGCCCATTTCTTCGACCAATCCGTTGAGAATTTCCCGTCGACGGCGAGATTGGCTGCGCCCAAGCGAGGGTGGGGCCTTTCTCTTTGACAACGTTAACGTAGTGCTTCTGAAACTCTGGTCGACACATTACTCGTCCTACAAGCTGAGCAAGGCACATCTACACACTTGTATTTTTTCCCCGCTTTCAATCCCCGCTGACCTTACTCTCACACATTTTCGCGCATAGCGCATCACCTATCGCACTTGATGGCAGAGAGGCTAATACCGCTACCGCCCCTGCTCGACCCGAGTCTGGAAGAAACGCACGCAAAATCGCGGGCGATCGCCCGAACAAGCGCCGGGCAGACGATGGGGAAATTTCCCTGACTGGCATTGACGTTCTGCTGGGTGGGACGGAGGCACACGCCGCTGGCATCGAGGCACACGCCCCTGGTGTGCCTCGAGCCCCTGTGGCCCCTGACGCACCAGCCACGACGGAAAGCGCCAAGACGGTGCCAACCAGCACAGTTGGTACTCCGCAGCCGCGTAAGCGACGCAGGCCTCAAGGCCCTGACGCGCCTGTGGGCCCTGACGCACCTGTGGGGCCTCACTCGCAAGTGGTGACCCGGCGCGCAAGTGTTGCCGAACTTCATTGCAGCCCAACAACAGCAGCGGCTGACCCTGTTACAGCAGCAGGCCCCTGCTGTTACTGAAGAAATCGCTACACCAAACGCAACTTTTGTTTCTGCTAAAAGCAACAAGGCGAAAACGGAGTCCGTAAAGCTCGCTTGTATGACAAAAACGGAAGGGGCGAAGACACCCGAGCCGCTGCCGCTGCAGTCTTGAACAAAACTGTTTGTGAAAACCGGCTGTCTTGCATGTGACCATCCTCCCATGGCCTGCTAATAACCCCCTTTTTTATTAACTCATCGCTACCTTCTCATAATCTCCTCTCCTAATCGAATTATGTCTCAAAACTTTCTTCTACCCCTCCTTCATTATGCTAATGCAATGCCTTTGTGCATGCCTCTATACACGTTTCAACTCTTTGAAATCGTACAATTCCATTTATATAGGTTTTCCTTTACTAGTGACGCATGGTTTGACCAGATGCAAACATCTGCTTGTCGTGTTTGTGCTATACTCAGACAGACTCTTGGTTGATTCGGAACTACCTGCTGTCATGTGCATTCATGTTGGCAGTTCCAAGTTGCTTGGTGTGTACGAAGCTGCCAGAGTCGCTTTGGGGCAACAAGTGGGAGTCGATGGATGGAAAGAGACCATGGAGACGAGAATGAGGGCACTTGGCTTGCAGCTGGAAGAGACTAAGGGGGAGCTGGCAGCAACCAAGGCGGAATTGGCTGAACAGAAGAATGTAATGACAGCGCAAGCGGAGGAGCTAGCAGCAACCAAGGAAAAGTTGACAGCAGCATTGGGGGGGTTGCCAGCTGCCAAGGAGGAGTTGTCAGCTGCCAAGAAGGATCTGTAAGCTGCCAAGGAGGAAGTGCAAGTTGCCAACGAGGAGGCGCCAGCTGCCAACAAGAAGGCGCCAGCTGCCAACCAGAAGGCGCCAGCTGCTAAGGGGTCGCCAGTTGCCAAGGGAAATTCGGCAGCAGTTTTAGGGGAGTTAGCAGCAACCGGGAGGGAGTAGAAAATAGCATTGGAGGAATTGGCAGCAGCCTTGGGGGAGTTGGCATATGCCAAGGAAAATTCAGCAGCAGTGCTGTGAAGTTAGCAACAGGCAGGGGGGAGTTTGAAACAGCATTGGAGGAATATGGCAGCATCTTTTGGGAAGTTGGCATCTGCCAAGGAAAATTCGGCAGCAGTTTCTGGGAAGTTGGCAACAGGCAGGGGGGAGTGTGAAACAGCATTGGAAGTGTTGGCAGCATCCTTGGGGGAGTTGGCATTTGCCAAGGAAAGTTTGGCAGCAGTTTCTGGGAAGTTGGCAACAGGCAGAGGGGAGTTTGAAAGAGCATCGGAGGAATTGGTAGCAGCCTTGGGGGAGTTGGCATCTGCCAAAGAAAATTTGGCTGCTATTTCTGGGAAGTTGACAACACGTAGGGGGGAGTTTGAAATAGCAATGGAGGAGTTAGCGGTGGCTTTGAAGGAGTATGCTAATCTTTAGAACTGAATTCCAGCTGCTGCTAGATTGCGCTGCTCGCTTGGGGTGCTGGCAGTGAGAGTGCAGATGCCCACAGGGGTGAAGGGAAGGGATTACTATTTTAAGCGGAGCATATGAAAATGCAGTGGTCATAGAATTGTTGTTTTTACAGTTTTCTATCACTAGGAAGTGCATATTTGGCAAAGTTTGCGTCAGGTTACAGTAGTCCGCAACACACATTACTGATTTGGAGATTGAAATGAATAATGCTCGATATATCCCAATATGAAGTAATAGTATTTCTGTATTGCACTGGTGTGCACTGAGTCCATGCCAAGCATCAACCGCTGAGTATGTTTTGTTCCGATATGAAATTCAATGAGAAGGCATTCCTGTATGCTGGAGAAGCCGACTCTACCGAGTACGAAGTCGAGGAGTCAAAAGAGTCGAAGCGACATTAGCAACCGCCGGATCAAGACCAATGTAGGCAGAAACATTTGAAGTGAAAAGAGCGGGAACAGGTTTGAAACGGGTTCCCGCGCCGCACGGTTTGAACTTCGCTGCAATAAGGGAATGTACACCTTAGAGTACATTGCTACCGTCATCGCCCGGATATACGACAGTGTTGAATAGAAGACAGGGGGTGTCTATTAAACGGGTGTCTCGTATAAATGGGTGTTCCTCATTATAAGACACCTATATGTGTGTACGACTTAAGACATTGTCTTGTAATCAAAACAAGGGTTTAGGGGTTATCTTATAAGGGGGGGTGTCTTCTAAACGATCCTTAGTTCCTTATCGGGGGTACATGCATACATTCATTCTACTTATACCTAGCCCCCCTCCGTCATGGCCTCCTCATCTGCACAAACATCAGGCTCCCTAACACCCAGGTCTGGCACTCGCCAGACATGCCTAGCTGTCTGCCTTGGCTCGATCATGTGGTCAGCCTCTGCCGCCGCTCCGTGGTAGTTAAGGGTCTCCTGGTACAGCACCTCCAGGCCGGTTGCCATGGCCACCTCTCTGATGCCCTTCGCATGCATCTCCTCCTCCTCCTCCTCCTCCTCCTCCTCCTCCTCCTCCTCCTCCTCCTCCTCCTCCTCCTCAATAGCGTGCCCAAGCAGGCGCGTGTTGTCGCACGTGGTCCCCTCGATGCACATGTCCTCAGAGACATCGGTGGTGCTCCTCGCGCGCAGGTGAGACATCACGAGGTGGTTCTCCGTCCTGTCCAACTTGCTTGAAATCCCACAATGGCGGAACGCGTCAATGATGACCTGCTTGGGGACTTGATCCCACGCCTCCAAAATCCACTGCAGCACCACGAGGTGCGGAGGCCTCCGCAGGTTCCCTGAGAGTGGGACAGAGGCAGGGACGGCAGGCCGTTAGAGACATGAAGGCGTAACAAGACTGAACTTGTATAAACTTTACTCACCCTGCTTTGTCTTCATGTGAAACCCTTCATGCATAAACCACATGGCGTAGCGTGCGCGCACCCCCGCCTTGAAGCACCGGTTGATGGAGATGTCCAGGGGTTGAATCTGGCTCGTGCAACCTGTTGGGATTAGTGCAGGGGTGATGCTATGCGTACGGCAGGCTTGGAGCATGCCCTGGGTGATGTGGCCTCAGTAGGAGTCCAACACCAGCATCGCACGCCTCGCGTTCTGGCCGCGCAGGGGGTTGAGATGGGGCAGCACCTCCTTGGTCAGCCAGGTCTGCACAGCGCTCTCGTCCATCCACCCATTGTCCTGTGCTTGGCATACGACTCCTGCCAGGCACAGAGGGGAGAGAGGGCGGTCAGACAAGAAGGGCAAGCTCTACACTCTTGGAAAGCAGAATTCGATTAGCTTACCATCCGGAATATCACACTTCAACACGATTTTCAGCTTGAACCACACCAATGGGCGCATCTTCTCCCCGGATGCGGTGCACGTGAGCATCACCGTCAGCCGCGTCTTCTCATATCCTGCCGTACGGATTGGGACCGAGCGCGCGCCACGGCGCTCGATCATCCTCTCAGCCGGCATCTCAACGAAGAGAGGCGTCTGGTCCGCGTTGATGATGCGCGCCAGGTCAATGTTGTGCCGTGCCCTATTCATGCGCACGAACTTCCAAAAAGACTCGCGGTCCTTAGCGCACTCTCCGCAGGAAAATCACCGCACAACAAGAGGGGATGGGTAGAAACAAGAGAGGTGATAAGAGTTCTAGGCACATACAATCAAGAATAAAGCGCGGATTCACTTCCTTAACCACTCACCAGCCGATAACACTTGGCCGACGTTGGTCTTCACCCTCATGACCAAGTTCCAGTGGTCACGGAACCGTTGGCTCCAGTGTGAGCTCGCGTTCCGGTTCTTCCCGGGGTGGTGCTTCTTCATCCACTCGCGGCTCCACTTCTGCGTGTCTTTCACCGTGATTGCCACCCCATTCGCGCGCTGCAGACATATGTAGCGGTACAATGTCGGGGTAGTCTGAGTGGCGGCCCACCCCGTGCATCCGCTTTGTGAGAGTACGACGGCTTATGCTGGCTTCGCTAGCTTGCCTGGACTTTATTATGCTATTACTAGCTTGGGTTTTATTTTATCATGCATAGATATGCTTCATTACCTAGGTTAGGTGCATTCTTATATTTTATTATAGTTATAGCACCGAACCAGGTTACGTGTACCGAACTCAAGCCCATTCGGTTTCCACCGAATTGCTTTCTACCGAGTTCGGGAAGGTTCTGTTCAGGACGCTTCGCGACTCTCGAAACATTCGCGTAACACCTGGATTACCTGCCTTGTGTCGATACTATATATAGCCTCGTGTTGTACCCAGATGGAGCATTTAATTCAGACTCTCTTTCCTGAGATTGATCCTAGATCCTCACACTTAGTAATCAGAGCCGTTTACACGCGAAGTTTTTTCGACCACTAAAACCGAATCCTAAAAAAACCGCGGGGGCAAGGACTGTTAAACACCGATTTCGGGTACGTAAAACCGGTTTCGTGTTTTCCACTCCCCCTCGTTTTCGGTTTTTGGACGCGCAATGTCGGTGTGAGGATCTAGGATCGAGCTCAGGAAAGAGAATTGTACTTGATTGATTTACCTGGGTACAACACGAGGCTATATAGGCTCGACACAAGGCAGGTAACCCAGGTGTTACGCGAATGTTCTGAGGGTCGCGAAGCGTCCCGAACAGAACCTTCCTAAACTCAGTAGAAAGCGATTCGATGGAAACCGAATAGGCTTGAGTTCGGTACACGTAACCTGGTTCGCTGCTATAACTATAATAAAATATAGGAATGCACCTAACCTAGTAAATCAAGCATATCTATGCATGATAAATTAATCCCAAGCTAGATATAGCATAATAAAGTCCAGGCAAGCTAGCAAAGCCAGCATAAGCCGTCGTACTCTCACATGTCCCCCCCTCAAAGCTGGGTGGCGTGAGAAACACCCTTCTTGACAAGATAGTCCTTGAGAGCAAGGCGTGCGTTGCCCATATCAGCTTCTGCAACCCAACTGTCCTCAGTGGGGTCGTATCCCCTCCAGCGTATCAGGAACTCGAGGGTCTTGCCGCCGCGGCGCCGATGAGTGAGAACACGCTCTACTTCGTACGCTGGTTCATCTTGTACGAGAACAGGAGGTGGTGGCGGTAACTGCCGTCCCTGGAACTGTTGGTTGGGGTTCTTGTAGGGTTTCAGTAGCTGGACATGAAAAGCGTTGTAAAGCTTCCATGTATCTGGTAAGCGCAAGCGGAATGTAACTGGTGTCACCTGTGCCTCCACGAGAAATGGACCACAGAAGCGAGGCCAGAGTTCAGATGGAAGGTGAGACAGGTTCAAGTCGCGTGTGTCAAGAAGCACCTATTCTCCGACTGCTACTCAGTGATCTCGTCGTTGGGGATCGGCATACTGCTTCTGGGAGTTCTGCATGGTGGTGAGACATCGCTGAGTCTTCTCCCATAGCTGCTGCATGGTGGTGACGAAGTCATGTGCGGCTTGGACGTGTGCCGGTGTGGTTGGCTGCTGTGGTGTGAGTGGTTCCCATCCATAACACAGGAAGAAAGGAGTTTTCCCTGTGGCCGCATGTGACGCGTTGTTGTAAGCGAACTCTAGGGTCGGTAACTGTGTGTCCCAGTGGCTGACGTCGTCTTTGCAAGCTGTGCGCAGTAACTGTTCAACCACCTGATTGAGTCGCTCGGTCTGTCCGTCAGTCTATGGGTGGTATGCTGAGGACATCGCAAGTTTAGTCCCCAGTAATCCCATGAGCTCCTTCCAGAACTTACTCGTGAATTTGGGGTCTCTGTCTGAGATGAGTGTAGCGGGGATGCCGTGAATGGTGATGATGCGGTCGAAGAAGAGGCGAGCAGTTGCTTCAGCTGTATCTGTGGCGTTGGTCGAAATGAAGTGACCCATTTTAGAGAACTTGTCGATCACCACGAGGATGGAATCATGTCCCCGTGAGGTCGAAGGAAGTCCTGTGATGAAGTCAAGGCTAACGACCTGCCATGGCTGCTCCGGTACGGGTAGAGGCTGAAGTAACCCTGCTTTTTTCTGCTTGCTGCTCTTCATCCGCTGGCACGTGTCGCAAGAGGTGACGAACTGCTGCACGTCTGCTGCCATCCCGGGCCAGTTTTAATACTTTGCTATCCCTGCTAACGTCTTGTTGCTCCCGAAATGTCCCGCGTAAGGTACGTCGTGAAACTCCTCCAATAGGATCTGCCGTAGCGGGGCATAATTCGGTACCCAAATCTTTCCTGTGCCCTTCCTTACAGCTAAGTCTTTCTCCCACTATAACAGCTTCTTAGTCTGTGCTGTAGCGATCTCTGCGTCCACGGAGTATCCATGTTGGAATAGACCCTTGAGCAGAGGGTTCATCCCGTCGAGCTGGATGCCTGCTACATGACCGGGGCGGCTCAACGCATCTGCTTTGTTGTGTAGCCCGGGCTTGTAGACGACGTCGCAGTGGAAGTGAGTTTCCAGGAAGTCCACCCACCGCACCTGTCGTCGTGAGAGTGTCTGCTGTGACTTCAGATATTTGAGACTACAGTGGTCAGTATAGACAGTTGTCTTGGCTCCGTCTAGGTAACACCTCCACGCCTTGAAGGCTATGACTATCGCTAAGGCTTCATAAACTGCCGTCTGGTTTTAGAGTGAAGAGGACTGGTGCACTGTAGGGAGAGGTGGATGGGCGGATCAGTTGTCTGTCCTGTAGATACTCTATGTGTTTCTTCATGTCTGTCAGTTCGGTCGGACTCATTCGGTATGGTGCACGTGAGACGGGTTTCGCACCTGGTTCCTCCACGATCTCGTGCTCGTGGGTGCATGCTGGAGGTACGCCTGCAGGTAGGTCGTCGGGCATTACATCCTTGCACTGCTCCAAGACCTCCTTCACTGCTGCAGGTAGCTCCGTACTCAGCTTCTCCTCCTCTGCTGCTGCCATAACCAGTGCTAAGTAACCCGTGTTACTCTCGTTCACCGTCCGTTCGAACCGTGCCAGTGTCGTTTCAGGAATGCTCCCTGTATCCGTCCAGCTTCGCAGCTCCACTCGTTTCCCGTTGTTTTAGATGCGCGCCTTCCTGTTGACCCAGTCGATCTCGGGGTTGAACCGCTTCAGGAAATCTCGCCCCAAGATGAAATCTGATCCCTTGATGTTTGTGATCGGCAATGTCGGCTTCCACCTCAGCGCCCCTATGTGCAGCTGCAGTGATGCTTTGCCGTGGATGGGAAGTTTCGTACCGTCCACCATCGTTGCCATGAACTTGGTCTCCTCCGAAGATTCTCCAATATTCTCCAATGTCCCGTGGTCGCACACCGAGTGAGACGCACCGCTGTCCACCAGTGCTTGGAGGCGTCGCCTATTGCAGATCACCTCGAGTAGTAGTGGTTGTTGCTGCTCCGAGTAACCGTAGATGGTCTCGCTTATAGGATCGTAGGGTACGTCGAATAGATCATCCCTCGGTCCTGCGCTCGAAGCTGTTGACTCCATATCAGTTTTGAACTGAGTTGGGTTAGAAGGATTTATCCGAGGCCGATTCAGCTTCGTCTTGGCCTGGAACCTTCCCTTAAGCCTTTGCAGCTGTGTAGGCTTCACCTGTGGGCAATTGGGAGCCTTAACACTGTGCTGCGGGGAGAGAATATTAACTCCTTGGAACGCACGACCCTTTTCAACGCTCCGTAGTGGTTTGCCCAACTTCTCAGGTACCTGAATAATGTCTGAAGGCTTTTTCTTGGCCTCCCCTGAAATTTTTAAAGGCTTGAAAACCTCGAGAGGGAATATTCTTACTCTCGGGGGTGTTCGGCTGGTGTTCCCCGGTCGGTGCAGAGTCTTGTTTCGCGGAGCCTCCATTTGTCTCGGCGATTTCCCCTGTTGCTGGCCAGTCGTGGCGTTTTAAATTCGCGCCATCGTGTCCTCCTTTTTTCGCCATCGTGGATGTTGCACTGTTGTTGCCTTGCAGCTCCGC